AATAGCTACGATTATTAATAGAGTGCGTAACGGTTTATTTGTTTATTAATTTAGTTGTTTATCTTCTTTTTTTTTTTGGAGGATGAGATGATGAAAAAATTCCTTCACGTGATTAATGCCTCTCGAGATCAACAAGATTAAGAAAAAAAAAAGAATAATAAAATAAAGGTGCGAATGACATGTAAAGGGTGCAACTGCGATGGTGACCGTCGTCATTCTTGAAAGAGATTATATGGTTGATTATTATTTTAATCATTTTTTCTAAAGGAACGAACGTCTATCATTTTTGGTATCGAGGGTGATCCTCTATGATGTAATTCTAATGTTCTAAAAAATTTTTGATAGGACTTTCCTGGAGAGTGCCAGCCCAGTCGGTCCTTCCCAAACATAAAATATGCGAGCGCGGTGAGCAAACTAGGAACGAAGGAAGGGAGGACAGGGATGGTGTTTTGTTGTTTTGTTTATTTTTTTTTAATTTTTTTTTTTCCTTTATATATATATATATATATATATATTTTTTTTTTTTCAATCTACCGGGGAACAAGAAAGAAGCGGGCAGACGGATGGACGAGATGTTTGATAATGCCAATTGGAGAGAGGGCTAATATCGAAATCGCACTCCGCCCACAAGCATTTCGTCATAACTTTCCATCTGAATCTCATCCGGATCGCACTTTTCAATCCTAATTTCCGTCCAACCCTCGTCCGAGAATTTCTCCAAATTCGGAAAACTCGTGTACTCCATCGAGGAATTGTCGGCGGGAGAGTATATCGACGAGGTGGGGGTTGTTGGCATCAGTAGTTCGCTGTCGGACGAACCGGGTGTCGACAGACCGTCACTACTGCTATCGGGAGAAATTGATGAGATTGAAGATATCGACAGGGAATTTAACGAGTTAATCGAACGAAGAAACATTGAGCCGGTAATGGAGGAGGAGGAAGAGGAACCGCCCGAACGACGTCGCTTGTGTATCGGAATGTAGGAGAAGGTGGGCTGACGATGAAGTATTGAATCATTGGTATCGAGAGATAGTGAGAGCGGCGAGAGATATGATTGTGGGGAGGATGATAGTGGAAACACTTGACCGCTGTTGGAAACGCTAGATTTGTAGGAGGTACTGGAGGGAACAGTTCTTGAAAAAAATTGATGCATTTTTTTTTTTAAAAAAAAAAAAAGAAAAAGTCCAAAAATTTTTTCTAATTGCAGAAAATGTTTCGCTTTTTCTTTAACTTTTTATTATTATTATTATTATTATTATTATTGTTGTTGTTGTTATTATAATTATTTTATTGATAACATACAAATGGCAAGTTATAACAATTTGGTCAATGTAATGTTACTTTTCGTACTTTTTCGGGTGTTTGGGTGAAAGGGTTGTTTTTCTGTTGAGAAAATTGTCGAGCGTTTTTATATGAAAGGGAGCAGATCTTTCAGTAAAGTATGATGGGTGAATAATTTCACCGAGCGAAAAAAATTCTTACAAGGGAAAAAAAAAAAAGTTTAAGAACGTAAATATTAAGTGGTAACGAAGTGCTATAAATGATAACTACAAAGAGGTTTGCTTTATAAGTGATTTCTTTAAGGGTTTTACAGTATGTCTTTTTTTTTAAAAAAAAAAAAAAAAAAAAAAAAAAGCAAAAAAGATTTCTCGGTAATTTATAGAAAAAATATATGTTCAGTATTGTAAAAAAAAAAAAAATACTTTGTGGCTTGCTTCTTTGTTGTTTTGAAAAGAAAAAGGGGAGTGGGGCACGTATAAAAAACGGGATGCGACAAGTATTATAATGTAGGTTGGTGTAACGGCGAAGAAAAAAAAACAGTGCGTACATAAAAAAACATTGTTCGGGAACTTTATAAAGTATAAAAAGAAGATCACTTCTTTTATGAGAAGTAGAGCACGCTGAAAAATTAAAATAGCAGTATCTTCATGATAGAATGTAATGGAAAGGTTGCATATTACTCCCGAAAAAAAAAAAAGCCTGTAATGTTGCATCTATATCGTATACATTGTGCATTATTTATATTGCGTGTACATTATTTTCATACTGCCGTATCGAGGTGAAGTTGAGACAACTTCTACGGTGACACGAAAATCCGGTTATACGTTACTAACGGAGGACTAACCAAAAATGCCACATAATATTCTATTTTAAAATATTAATCATTGAAATCTCCAAAATGCCATGGAACAATATCTTTGTACGGTAATGAACATCAGATGTTTTAATGATTCGAAGATACCTCGCCAGTGTGATTATTTACGTCCGTGAATCGTGGTACGTGCGAGTGTCTCTCAAACAACAATACTAGACTGGTGAGTTGAAATGCATAATTGTGTCGAACGCGAGTACCCACGCTTTCCCCCCCGTCCCCTTCCCACCCTTCTATTATCCGATTGATATGTGTATTCATGAGAGCACGTATAAGAGTCATAATGTATTATTTCTTATTTCCAAGTCATCAATCTCCCTTTGTTAGAACAAATGGAATTATCCCCTCGGCGGTCAAATGACTTCTTTGGCAGTAAAAAAAAAAAAAAAAAGAAGATAAACAACTAAATTAATAAACAAATAAACCGTTACGCACTCTATTAATAATCGTAGCTATT